AGTCTCTCACTGAACCTGGAGCTCACCAATTGCCCAAGACTAGCTGGCCTGTAAGTCCCAGAGATTTTCCTGTCACTGCTTCCTCAGTGCTAGGGTTGTACTAAACTAGCTCATTCTGTTTTTAATGTGAGCACTGGGGAATCAAAAATCTGACATACATTAACTGTGTGCTTGCCTGTGTTCAAAGTCATTCACTGGGTTTAAGGTTTCCCATCCAGAAGCCTGCCCTTATCAGGTGCAAGGTCTGAGATTTGTTACTTGTTTTTTTGAAGGTTGGAAAAAATATAAAAAAATGACAAAGCTTTGGACGGATCACTTTCTAAACATTAGACTGATAGAATCTCCTTTAGTCTGTTGATCAGACTTTTTATGTTCCAAGAACAAAGCTTATCCATTGTGTTTCCTTTTGTGTGAACCATACCAGTTGAAGCCTAGTTATATCAAATTTTAATGATTGCTCATTAAACATCTCTGACTGTGATTAATGCCAAGTTCAAATATACATGAGTCAAACCTAAATGATCCCCGACTAATTAGAAAAATGTTTCCAAGTTACTGCTGATGTCCTAAGTTGTTCAGAGAAATGAAGCCTCTGAGATGACTTTGATGTTGTCACACATGTCCAGATTTGTCAGCCAATTTGCCTCTCATCTCACACGGGGAACCCACCTAAAATGTGAATATAGGAATCACCGAAGCTCCTTTTTCTTCATAATATTCCTAGTATTCTGAATTCTGCCTGGATAATGTCTGTTGACTGATTTGGAAAGGATGACTTTCTAAGAAAGAGGAGGAAACCAGATGCTCTTGGATAGACCATCTTAACAGCGGATGAAGGACAAAAGCACCCAGCAACTGATGACTCCCGGAAGAGAGAGGGGCAACAGACACAGAATTTCAACGAATCCAAAAAAGTAAGAGAGAATAGAATAACCCACAGTCTTAGAGCATAGCAGAAGGCCCATCTCTGTGGCTTTAGGTGACTTTGGGGATAATTGCCCACCTCAGGCTAGCCCTAGATAAAAATTCCTTTACCATCTGAGCCCTAGACCAGAATATCAGAGTCCTCCTTCCCTCAGTTCTACTTCCCACCTACTGACCACCTCTGAGAAGATCTTAAGTATAGACTTCACCCCTGTACAGGTGGTGGGTCACTTTCAGACATGTAGGGGAAAGCTTGCACTAAAAACGATAGGCAAAAGGTGCAAAGACTGGAGGGTAAGGCCATGCTACTAACAGCTCATTATGCCAGCAGGCAAGTTCTCACTTTATTCTTGAAGTACACACAAAACACCAATGAATGAATGGGTAAGAAATACATGGTGCTACATGATATTAGAGAGTGAAGCCAGATGTAGGCATATTTTTTGCTCCAGTTGCTCAAAAAGCTGAGACAACAGGATCATCTCAACCCTGAAATATGAGGCCAACCTGGGCAACATTGCAAGATCCTGATCAAAACAAGTTTTATATTTAAATTTTAATTTAAAAAAATCAATTTTGATAGCGGGGCGGTGGTGGTGCATGCCTTTAATCCCAGCACTCGGGAGGCAGAGGCAGGCGGATCTCTGTGAGTTCGAGGCTGGGCTGGACCGACAGCCTCGAAAACAATACAGAAAACCCTGTCTCGTAAAAAACCAAAAAAAAAAAAAATCAATTTTGTAAACTTCTATGCACAAAACCTATAGATGTCTTCCTCTATACTCCAGCATGGGAAACACTCATACCCTTCTCCCAGTTTGTACTGGATTTATCTGTGCACCCATTTCCTTCCTTACTAGGTATTATGTGGTTTTTGGGCAAAGACTACAGCCTTTTTTTAAAAAAGTTTTTAAATCTATTAGAAGTAGTAATGAGAATACGATTTTGATAAACATGAAAAATGGAAAAACTTAAGGAAATAATGATTTGGGCATAAGAAATCACATTTATATTGACGTTGCAGTGGAGGCATTTTGAAATTATTTTTATTTTTGATGAACTTCTGAAAACAAGTTTTTGTTAAGTGAGTTTACATCTAAATTTCGGTGGTTTTAAGAGTTAACACAAAGGTCTTTTATCTGTTCTTAATGTCACCAGCCATATCCTGCCATCGATTTATGGGGAGAAGTCCCTATTGAAATCGATGGGGAGTTCTCTGTGAAAATCAATGGCAGGATGTGGCCTCTAAGAACATGCGTTACTGTAAGTTTGCAGCTGCAACTTCGGGACAACCCTTTATGCTACACTCAAAATTAACAATTGGAAAGCATTGTCGTTCTTTAGGGAGGGAATAAAATGGAAGGAAGGAAATGCACATTTGTGCAGGACAATCTGTCATGTTCCCACAGCCCAGCAGGCTTGCACTGTCTTTTCAATTCTTAAAGGAAAAACAATCATGGAAAAGGCAAATGCCTTAAAGAAACAAAAAATAACCATCCGAAATCCAAACTCAAGAGTCTGTTTGTCCAGAATGCACAGTAAGTGTGTGTTACCGGGAGAAGCAACACAAGCAGCCCTCCTGGGTGTGTGGCCAGTTCCTCTTCATTGCTCCATAGCCCGTGGCTCACAGTCACACATTGGTGACAAAGGAAACCAGCCAGTGTTGGGCAAGACAAGGAGAGAGAAGCAATGAGGACAATCTCACTCATCTTAAGAGTCTTCCAGGCAGGAAATGTCTGAAACAAATCCCAGAATATCTTGAGAAAAGATGGATAGATATGATATGAATGCGGTCTGCGTAAAGTGAACTATCAGAAACTTTTGCTTTCTGTTTACAGGAATGCCTCCTACAAACAGGAGTGATTTCTCCTCATGGAGAATAATGGCCACACAGTATAGCTCCACCTTCTCCAGCAGAGAAAGCATCCACATCATGCTGCCACGGTACTTTATCTTTGTTTTTTGGGGGAATCAATGTCTCATGTCACCATGGCTGGTACTGAGCTTTTTATGTTGCTAAGGATGATGTGAAATTGAACCCATGGACTCAGGCAAAAGGTTTCCTAGTCACCTTTGTTTTGTCTCCATCCCCAGGTCAGATCTTTGCATTTAGTGGCACTGCAATGGTCAGTGTGTAACCCACAGGAGATGCTATCAAAACCTAGGGAAAACAGGGGAGGGAATGCCTGGTAAATGGAGTTCTTTCATACTTCATAAGGGCAAACAAAAGCTAAGCACACTATAGTTTATTAACAGTGCCGGGCTGTGTTTCAGACACAACACAAGGCACTGGGGTTTAGATAGGAAAGATCCCCACTGCTTCTCTGGAGCATTCTAAATGAGCCATGAAACCACCATGAAGACGGGGTTAGGAAGCAAAGTATGTGTTTGGGAAACAGGGAAGCTAGCCTTGGTGAGCCAGAGCTTAAGGGTGAAGTTCCAGGAGTGTGGCGCCTAAGGGAAGGTTGGGTTTACTTAGGAGAGAAGATCTATATGTGTAGGAGTGGTTATTTTCAGCTTTATTCAGGTATAATTAACAAATAAAAATAAAATGTATTTATGGTATACACTGATCTTTTAATTTAGATACACATTATGGAATGATTAAATAAACATAATTAATACATCCATCACCTTGCCTACTTGTGTGTATGTTGAAATACTTTGTAATTTCCATGCATATACACACACATTTCTTTTCTCATTATTTTGACAAAATACTCAACAAATGAAACTTAAGGAAGGAAGTAGTGAAAGAAAATGGCCCCCAATGGGAATGGCACTATTAGGAGGTGTGGCCTTGTTGGAGGAAGTGTGTCTCTGTGGAGGTGGGCTTTGAGGTCTCTTTTGCTGAAGCTTTCATGTGACTGTTAGTTGACCCCTGTTGCCTGCAAGATGTAGCACTCTCTTCTCCAGCACCACATCTGCCGTGGTGATAATGGACTGAACCTCTGAAACTGTAATGAGCCACCCCAATTAATAATTTTACTTTGTAAGAGTTGCTGTGGTCATGGTGTCTTTGCACAGCAATAAAAACCCTAACTAAGACAGAAGTGCTTATGTTAGCTCCACCATGATGGAAGGCGCTGCAACAGAATGCAGGGCTGGTGGCCTCACAGCACCCATACACAGGAAGCAGAGAGGTAAATGAGTGACGGTGCTCATCTCCCTTTCTCCCATTTATTTAGTCTTGGATCCCAGCCCACACTCAAGGTAGGTTTTCCCAACTCGGATAAACCTCTCTGGAAACACAGATAGGTCCAGAGGTTTGTCTCCTGACATTAAGTCATGTCAGTTTGTTGGTGAAGATGAACCATCACACCAGATATCATTATTAACTACAGTTTCCATATGATACAATTTATGCCCAGAAGTTATTCATTCTGTCCTACTGTAACTATATATGCTATTGCAGGCACTTTTTTTTCCCTATACCACACTTCTAACTCTGATCCCCCCCCCCCCCAGTCTCTCAGTTTTGACAGGTGTTTAAAAGGAGGATATTTCCTTTTTCTTGTGACAGATACTCAAGTATCCCAGGCTTGCCTTGAACTTACTCTGTGCTAAAGATGATCTTGACCTTCTGATCTTACTGCCTCCATCTCCCAAGTGCTGGGATTATAGGTATGTGCCACCATGCCCTGTTTAGTGGCTTGTGCTTGCCAGACAAGTACTCTACCAACTGAGATACAGCCCCGGTGAAATTAATTTTAAATAACTGGCAGAATTCAGTTAGGAGTCAATCAGCTCTAGGACTTTTCTTTGATGGGAGTCTTTTATGTGTTTTACTAATCCAGTGTCCTTTCTTATTCTAGATTCATTCAGAGATCTCTATTTCTCTAAGAGTCTGTCTTTGTAGACTTGTGTGTGTCAACCACACTTCCATGCCTTTTAGGCAGCCTGACTGTCAAGTCTAATTGCTGTGGTCATTTCTTTGGCTTGCTGTTTATTTATCTTACCAACTCCTTTTTTTAGCCTAAGGATTTGTTGATTTTGTTTATCTTAAGAAACATTCTTAGCTGAGTTGATCTGTATTTTAGTTTTGTTGATCTCTTTTTTTTCAGGGTTTTAATTTTTAATGTTATTTTTGGTTGTTTGTTTTAGTTTTGCTGATCTTTTCTTATATCTGTTTCTGCCCTGGTCTTTGTTATTTCCTTCCTAACTTTGGGCTGAGTTCCAGCTCCTCGAGTTTGCTGGGCTTGCTCTGTTATGAACCCTCCCTACGCTCAGAGCTGTTCTTGCTGGCTCCCATGGAAGTCATGTGATGGTTACTCTTGATTGTCCCTTGATGTGATGTACAAATCACCACAGAAACAAACATCTGGCCACGTCTGTGAGGAAACTTCTTCACTGAAATAAATGAGGTAGGAAGACCCATCCTAAAAGTGAACAGTGTCATCCTACGTAATGGGGTCCCAGACTGAATAAAAAAGAAAGAAAGCTGGATGTTCATTTCTCTCTGCTTTCTGACTGGAGAAGCAACGTGAGCAGCTGCCTCAAGCTTTGGCCTCTGTGACTTTCCCACAAGGATGGACTTTATCCTCACACTGAACCAAATTAAACCCCTCCTTAGGTTGCCTTTGCCCTTTTTGCTTTGTTTTGTTTGTTTGTTATAGGAACTGGAAATAATACGTGTGTTTCCACTTGTGTCTGTTTCAAGTTTAAATTCTTACTGGCCTCTTGATTGTCCCAGAGTTGCTAATATCTGTGTGTTTGGGAGAGCTCCCCTTTCCTTCATGACCCTGATTTCTCATTTCATGAATTCCAGCCAGAAGCTTGGACTCTGGGTTCTCGTGTGGCTGAGTCAGAGTACCTCATACTGGTGGATTCATATACAGCAGAAACTTATGAACACTGGCTCAGGAATTTGTCGAGTCCAAAATCGCAGGGTTGGCCTATGGGGAGGGGTTCTTCTTTGCTTCTCCATAGCAGAAGACAGACTGTGTGTGTGTGTGTGTGTGTGTGTGTGTGTGTGTGTGTGTGTGAAGAGTGGCAAATGTCTCCTTTTATGATAAATATACTCTTGTGATAATTCAGTCTCACTTTATGGTCTAACTACTTGTGGATCTGGGTGTTCAATACTTAGCCTTTGCAGATACAGTCCCTTTCACTTCCCCATGCTGACGTTCCAATGAGATTGGTGCTCTTCTTCTAGATGCCCTGCTAATGGTGTGATCCATAGGCAGTACTGAGATCTCTCATTGAGATCGGTGCTCTTCTCCTAGATGCCCTGATGAAGGCGGGATCCATAGGCAGTACTGAGATCTCTCATCGAGATCGGTGCTCTTCTTCTAGGTGACCTGCCAAGGGCGTGATCCATAGGCAGTACCGCAACGCCTCATCTCTACGTTGTCTTATCTTCTCCCTGAGTTGGTAGATCTGTAAAGCTCTGTTTGGAAGTTAACTGTTAACATGGAAGGATTTAGAGACAGCAGGAAGAGAAAGGGGTAGTTGAACATTGATCTAATCTGTGTGATTATTAAACTGATTGCAGTAGTACAGATGAGGTGAAATTTGGGTGGGTAACCATGAGATAGCTTAGACTTCCTATATACTCTCTAAGACATTGACCAGGCTTGTGTTGGAGAGGCAGCCTAAACACAGCTGTCATAGTTTCTCTTGTTGGTTTCTGTGGAGGCCAGAGGTCAAACTTAGGTGTTATTCTTCAGGAGCTTGCTTCTTGAGTCAGGAGTATTTGATTCAGCTAAGCTGACTAGTCTGGGAGTCCCAGTGATCCCTCTGCTTCAACACTTGTTACCACCAAACTCAGCTTTCTACCAGGATTCTTGGAGCTGAATATAATCCTCATGCTTATTTGGCAAGTGCTTTCTCAACTGAGCATCTTTTCAACCCCTATCCTATCACTGACTTGATGGGACCAAAGAAGAGTCGGCTCAGCTTTATATAGCAGAAAATGGTTGATTATATAATAACACGTGCCAAGGTACAGGACACAGGATGCTGCCAAAGGCTTGAGCATCTATCTGTGGGGAGGGCTGCAATGAAGATATGACTTTTGTTCTTAGATAAGCTTGCACTATCTTTGGGGAGAAACATGTGGTCTGTCCTGAGAACTAAGGGGAGATTTCTGATCTGGTCTCATGGTCCTGTGTGGCAGACCCCAGTATTTTCCTGTCTTGTCCAGGTGCTGGATACATAAGCTTTCTTCAAGTCAGACTACTGTAAGGAATGCTCCCAGGAAAGTTGAACAAAAGTTCATGTTCAATGCTTTCACTTTGTTCATGAGACAAATGATGAAGATAAAAATCTGACCGTGAGTTTTACACTCTTGGAATTGAAGATTAATACAGAATAGATATTAGATAAATTGCTAAGAAAAGCAAATGTGATCTTTGAATCAGCAGAGTTCTAGGTCTCTGTCTTTGGGTGTGAGCAGGGACAGCCTCAGTTATCCTATCTTCAGGCAAAAGCACTAAAGCTCCCTCACAGATGCCTGTTGAGGATCAAGAGAGGTCATCTTGTGCCTGGCATACAGTGAGAAGGGTTTTATGAAGATAAATTTAAATAAACCGGCCACATAGAACTGCAGTCTGGGGCTAGGGTGTGGCTCAGCTAGTAGATGCTGGTCCAGGATGCATTATGTCCTGGCTCATTCCCAGAGCTGTGTGAATCAGATGAGGCAGTGAAAGGCTATAATTGCATTGTATGGAAAGAGGAAGCAAGAGATTCCAAAGTTCAAGGTCTGGCTACATAGCATGTTTAAGGCCAGTCTGAGATACATGAGACTTTATCTCACATTAAAAACAAAAGAAATAAAATTTCAACATAAAGGGAATGAAGGAAAGAAATGTAGTGATTTGACATCGTGTACCAATATACACCCAGAATATTTATATGTAAATATAGTTCAGCCTGAATAAATAGGTTAGCATCTTTTAACCTGAAAAAACATACTCTTAAATACCGCAGACTGGAAACAAATGCTTGTGTAATTTGAAGGCAAGCATCCACCCACTTGATCCCAGCTTATTATTAAGGCACCATGATGATGATGATGATGATGATGATGAAGGTCTAGTGTCAGGAAGATCGCCTTGGGTTATAATCTACCCTGGAAACCCAGTGCTGTGATTCTGAAGTTGTGTATTAAAAGTGAGGGCCCTTGTATGATGCCCTGATCACCCATGTATGTAAAGTATCTGCTGTACAGAAATTTCCCCGACTAGTAACTGTAGTGTTGCTATGATGTTTGTAATTTGGTTGTACCCTTTAATGGCCGTGCGGCACGAATGATGTGAAAAAATTAAACCTTAGTATATCTGTGACATAAACTATGTTTCTGCTGAAAAACAAACTGATGTTCTGTTCTGTGCAAGTTTGACCCAAATCCTGTGGTAATAAGCTTCATCTTAGGAAGCTTGTGTCTGAGACTGTGTTGATGTCAAACATGTAGATAAATGCAAATTAACTTTGTTATAATAATGCTCTCTCATCTAGTTGAAATGATTATGTTTTCCTACCGATACTTTTAATACACAACTTCAGATTCTATTTTCTATCTAATATATTGTTTGTTATTTTAATCTGCTGCTTCAGTTAATGGCGTTATGTTTACATAAGCCCATTCCTTCTCGCTTCCAACACTGTGTTTGTAATGAATCACAGCACTGGGTTTCCAGGGCAGATTATAACCCAAGGCGATCTTCCTGATATTGCTATATCCAGGTCTTTGGGAAGCAGGCAGCACACATATAAGTAAATAAATACATGCTGTCTAACATCCTAGTGAAGACATAAAATATTCTCTTTAAAAATGGGTGTTTTATCTACACACTGCCAAACATGCAGCCTTTTGGCTTTCTTTGAAAGTGGGTGGGTGTTTGGAGATGGGTTCTCCACATAGACCCTGCAGTAGTTTCACGGCTGTTCTTTTCTTTGGGTTTGGAAAATGAGGGAGCGGTGTTGCGCAACAGGGGCAGTGACTATGGTGTGCTGGTGAGAACCTTCTGATATGGAATTCCTAGCATCTCCTCCTTCAGGAAATCTGCTATTTTGCCTGCCAAGGCTTTTTGAGGGCTTCCCAGAGGCCCCAGAGACCTCCCTTGTTCTTTCCTGCAGCTGGGGAGTAGGCATACACAGGAGACTCCTCTCTCACAATGAGTGCAGGCACATGCTTGCCTCCAAACCAAACCACTTAACCAAGCACACACGCATGGATCAGGGGCATCTCCATCTCATTTCTGTAGCAACAGAGTGCAGCTGAGACTGGGACTCTCTTGGTCATTTGCTTGTCCAACATTTGTTAAGGTCTAAGTTCAAGCCCAGTCCCACATAAATTAGATGTGGTGGCACATACCTATGACTTCAGCACTCTGGAGATGTAGGCAGGAGAGTCAGAAGCTGAAGGTCATCCTTAGCTACCTAGCAGTTCAAAGTCAGTTTACAGGGAAAAAAGTAGGAAAAGGAAATTTTGGAGAACTCAGGAAACCCAAAGATGGCATGCAGTGTCCCTGATGATCACTGTCACAACAGCTGAAGTCCACTCCGAATATTCTGGGATTCACTCCTTTTATACATTTTCTCACAGCCGTCTTCCTATGAGACAATGGTTGCTAATTGAGTGTATTTTGGAAGTGTTGAAATTGGGTCTTGGCAAGGCTAAATAATTTGTCAAGGACCACACAGCTGAAGACTGCCAGCATCAAGCACAGAAGGCAGGTCTGCCTGACAGCAAGCCTGCTGTGTGGACTAAAGTCTATGGCCTGTCCCAGGCTCTCAGTGAGAGATGGCCTGACAGTAAGTCTCCTGTGTGAACTAAGTCTATGGCCTGTCCCAGGTTTGCAGTGAGAAATGGCTCATTGCATGTGAAAGCTTACAGGTAGTTTCTTTCATTTTTGTAAAATAAAGGAAAAGAGGTTCTCCCTGTCTCTGGGATGATGCCTCACATTCCCACCAAAAGAGTGTTGGCCATGTCCCTGACAATCACCTCTGCCCATCAGAGGTCCTGGTGGACTTAGGTTTTTTTGTTTTGTTTTGTTTTTTGTTGTTGTTTTTTTTTTAGAGAATATCACCAGGAATAGTATAGAATTATTTCATAGTTTTTGAAATTACATCTAACTTCTATTCTTCCTTCTAACTTTTAATGTGTGTGTGTGTGTGTGTGTGTGTGTGTGTGTGTGTGTGTGTGTGCGTGCACACGTGTATGTATACAGGTAAAAGGACAATTTGGGTAAATCGATTCTTTCCTTCCATCACATGGGCCCTGGGACTGGAATGCAGATTTCCAGGTTTGGTAACAAATGCCCTTACCTGCTGTGCTGTCTTGACACCCCCCACTCCCGGTGTTTCTTAATCCAACTGAGTGGGGTATGGAAATTATCCAGTACCGAGTAACCTCGAAGAAGAGATCTATTAAACCTAGTGATAACTTACCCCAGTGCAAGTCCAGAGCTATGGAAGTTGGGAGCAGTTTGATTTTGAAGACAGCTGTGCAGGGGACAGACCTCATTCTGGCTCCAGGTCAGAGACTTTTGAATAAACAATGGGTAGCCCAAGATCCCTGGGAACTAAAGGAGTGAAAGGAATGGGAAGGGCAGAGTCCAACTTCCTTCTCTGGGAACTTGGCCTGGGCTCCATGAGCCAGCCTTGTCCCACTAGTTCTTGGCTAATCTCTGCAAAGCTCTCTGTCCCATTAGATTTCTCTGATGGAATACTGATGTGGAGAGCCTGGGCTTCTATGCTCTGAGAAGGAAAAGACCTTGGGATTTAGAAGTGTAGGAAACAGAAAGTTATTAAAAGCTTATTTGGACAGTACTATGTGACAAGTCCTTGACATGTGACTAAAAATGTCACAGTCCTAATATTTAGGAGGGACATTTGAGTGCCCTTGGCAGTTGAAGGCAAGCCTCATGGAAGTGATTTCTGGTTATCACTAAGATCAGAATGCCTGAAGGACTGACTTTAGCTTGATCTTCTTTGCAGTTCTCACAGAGATGCCAAGGCAGCTTAGTATTCTTCCATGGAGTGCCTGCTGTTCCCTGGAAACCATGTCTGCAAAGAGCTAAGCCACATGGCCATAGTGAGACATGGCACTCCCTGAGATGGACTCCTGCAGGCGGGACAGGTACATTGTGGGAAAGTGTGTGCCTAATCTTGGTTATTTTATCTTGTCACCCATTGCATGTGACCTGGGGCATTTGCTGTTGGCTTTAGACTATATATGACCAAAGTGACTGCATGGTAAGATGTGTTTTCATCTTGTATGTTGATAAAATACGGATGCTGCAAAAAGACAGTAGCATACATAAGAGCTAGATGTCATGACATTTCAGAATCAGAATGAAGGGACAAAAGATCAACCATCCCATAGTCTAAGTGAAATTATCACCAGAAGCATTAATAATGAGTGAAAGCATGTGCTACAAGCTGGAAGATAAAAGGGAATATTAACTGATAATATAAATCAAAGAAATAGCAGAGGCCTGGCTCTCTGACTGTGAGACTGGAACCACCTACATCTAGATCCAACAGCATAACTGTGAGACTGTAGTCTACTAGAACAGTTTACAGGGCCCGACAGCAACTCAGCAGAGAGTATAACACTTCCCTGATACTCACCTGGCATTTCTCTCCTTCGTTCTCACTAAATTGAAACATTTATATCATGATGATCATTAGTTCTAACCAAGTGGTACACTCACTGCCCTTCCTTGGAAGATGAACCTGAAGCCTGAAGAACCCAGAACACAATGGCCATCTGCATGCTAGAGAGACTGGAAACTGGCAGCTGCTTAGTTCACGAGGCTGGATGCCTCAGACGTCCCAGTGTGGTGCTAAAAGTCCAAAGAATTCTCAGAGAATTCCTTCCCTGGTAAAGAACCTGGGTTTTGATGTCAGCAAAGGGTGCGAGGAGCAGCAGTAGAATAGACAGGATCACCAGCAAGAAGGGAAGCCAGGCATGCGTAAACAGCACTGCTTTCCTCAGACTTCTTCATAAGTGGGCCGCTTGCTGGCAGGTGCTGTCCACTGTGGTGGAGGGTCTTCCTTCACTTCAGTTGGCTCTTTCTGGAAATGCCCTCACAGTTCTACTAAAGGCAAGCAAGCCTTTTAGTTGCTTCTAGATTCAGAGATCCAATCAAGTTGGAAACCAAGACTCATCACCACAGCTCTCTTTCCTGCTCTCTCTTCTTCTCCCTCCCTCCCTCTCCCTCTCAGTGTGTATGTGTGTGGATGCATGTACATATCCCTAGTTGCTCACCTATGAGCACATATGTACATACAATGTGTTTTTCCTGAAATTTCCTTCTCTGATTAAGAGAATTCACTGTCCACAGTTCAGTCCCTGGGGAGCATCCCAGTCTGGGAAAAATGATGCCATCATCAGAGACAAGACAGAAGTTGACACTGGACAAGAACCATCCAAACAAACACTCATGAAACTAGCATATCTTTACTAAAAGTCATTTTCTCCCACAAATGCCTTTTCCCCAACTTCTTCTCTTTCCCCTACTAAAATGGTATATAGCTTCAAATTTTAGTCAGGTTTTGAGTCACAATTTTGTGAACTCCAGCATAATACTTGAATTTTTTTAAAAAATCTGTCTTTCCTTTATCTTTTGATATTTTAAGCCTTTAAACTATTATTATTATTACTGGGTACATGTGCCATCACACACTTATGGAGGTCAGAAGACAACTTTATGGGATCTGTTCTCTCCTTCTACCTATACATGGAATCTGAGAATGAAACTCAGGTTTGTGTGTGTGTGTGTGTGTGTGTGTGTGTGCGTGCGCGCACACACACACGCACACATACACACACACACACAACCACTTCTACCTGCTGAACCATCTCAGTGACCTAGTTTCCCCTCCCCTGTCCCTTTCCTCCCCTCCCATTTTCCCTTCCCTCTTCTCTTCTCTCCTCTTTGTCTCTCCTCTCCTCTCTCCTCTCCTCTCTCCTCTCCTCTCTCCTCTCCTCTCCTCTTCTCTCCTCTCCTCTCCCTTCTTGTTTTCTCTGCTTCTTTCCCATCTTTTGTGTGTGTGGTGGTAAGATCATCAGAACCCAGAGCTTGCACCATGCTAAATACTCTCTACACTTAGCCCGATTGCAAGCCTGTCTTTCTTGTTTCTTGCCAACAGTCTCTCACCAATTTAGCTCACAGTTCTCTAGATATTAAACATACAAGAGTAGAGGGAGTTTTTCTTTCCTGACGAAGAAAATTCAAAATTTCAATGAAATCCAAATTCATTCTTCCTCTCTGTAAGTGCTGCCCCTTTGGCATAGGATCAATGGCATGTGGAAGAATGAATGCTGGTGACATCTGGAGAGTCAGGGCTTTTAACACTGGACTTGAGAAAGTAGTGAGAGATCACCTCTCTACAACAAAAAGGCTCCGCTTGGAGCCTATTCTACTGCAAGTCACAGAGTGACTCCTTGTCCACAGGAGATTATGCTTGAAAATCATTGAAGCAGATTTCTTCCCAAAATAAGGAAGACTAATTTGTGATAGGTAACAATTGCTGGAAGCTGAGCATACTGGTAGAAAGGGCAGACTTCTCCACTGACCCCAGATACAGCAGGGTTTTGTGCTGGGATGTATAATGTCTGAACATTCTCCCAGATCTCAACGGTGTTGTTAAGCAATTTGCTGCACAGTGAATGTAGCTCATCTTCACAAACTCATCACACACTGGCTGAAGTAAGTTCTGGAAATGAGTATCTGTGGCAGCTTTATTTTGTATTTGTCATGCTCAACCATCCCTTCCATGATGGCAAATAATGAAGGTGACTTGGGTGTAGGAGGGAGCATTTGTCCTTGTCTCCTCCTCAGAGGCTTGAGAGAACTAAAGGTTGGAGTGTACTGTAGCAAGGCACTCACATCTAGGTTTCTGGAAACAAGTGACAAAGCCTCTCAGCTTTCTTCAATGTTGTGACAATCATGCCTTGGACATTGTGTTGCATTTTGGATTGCACTGAAATGGAATGATAGTCTTTCCCTGTAGGAAGGGTATTATTTCTACATACAGTCAAGAAGGGCAGCCTTGTCCCCAAGCCAAGAACTGGTGCTCCATCAGATTGTAGAAATAAATTATATAAAGAAACCAGTTATCTACTGGATAGTATAATGAAAACTGATTACCCAGAAGAAAACCAGAGACCCCCATTTCAACCTGAGGGTTATTTTGAAGTTCAGTAGAGACTACATGAACTGCTTAGCAGGGCCATATAGAGCAGTAGCAAAACTGTTCATAGAACTAAATGAACCAAAGAAAAATAGGATGCCTTAGAAGGGTGTGGTTAGAATAGTATTTGACAGAGTCACATCAACTCCACTAAAATTGTTTTACCAAGATGACTTTTAAATATCCAGGTATTTCATATGATGGTTAACTTCATTCACAAGTATAATAAAGACAATACAAACAATGTTAAGAACAGTTAAGTGGCAAGAAATGATATAATACAGATAAAGAAAATGAGATTACGGCCTTGTCAGATTCGATCTCAGGTACCTTAGAGAGTTGGCACTCAGGCTGGCTATCCGGCCAAGGATGGGCTGAAATTGATATTAGGAGGCTGTTCTGCATGGAAACCAAAATGACATCAAGCCCCAATAATTCAATTATAGGGAAGGCTGAGTATGATGGGTTTGTTTCCAGTACAACACAAGAAGAGTTCTGGTTGGTGTCTTATCTTAATTGCTGTTTTAAGATAACAAAGAGGACCAAAATAAAGGACAAAAAAAGAGGAAAATTCAAAGTCTCTTCACATTTGTTCCATAACACAAAGCAAATAAAAGATAACATGGCAAAGTCCAACATGAGCATTTGATGGTGACACAAAGAGTGCTTTGTTTGGGAAAACATCACAAGGGAGGTGGTTAAGGGCTGGGATAATACCCAGTGGATTAAAAGAAGAAAGGAAAAGGGAGACAGAAAGGAACTCAGACCAGATAGTGGCAAGGTAAGCCAGACACAGTGATGCTTTCCTTGTCTTAGGACACTTGGGAGTTTGATGAGTAGAGCAACATCATTCTCTTGCATCCTAGCAAGTCAGAAACAGTTCCAAGGAGAATGATGGGCGTGACAGCAAATTGTTGGCAAGTGAAGCTAAAGAACAACCAGTTCCTCTCCCACAGGAATCCTAGGAGCTGGAGTTAGGTCTTTGTGTGAGCAGGACAAGCCAAGGCTGTTGCACTTCCAGCCTTCGGGATTGCTTCCCACCTCCATATCACAAGACTCCAGAAATGAAATCAAGCCATGCAGCCATGCTTCCCTGAGACACACTGTGAGGTGCAGTGGCATCGTGTTCCAGCGAAATACAACCAGACCCATTTGATTTTCCATTGAATTTGTCTTAATTGTTTAAATGGCAAACGCATTCAGTCCTACTGCATCCTTAGAAACCCAATGTCTTTAAACTGAGCTTTACATATGAAAATGAGTGTGACCGAGGCATTGGGGGAATTCACACTGTGTACCTGATCCTGTGGCAGACTGTCCTGCATGCTTGATGCCTGCTCTCAGGGTTATCACCTGGTAGAAGCATTGGTTCTCCTTCAATTAAATGTTACTTTTGGTGGCAAAGAACTCTGCCTTGTTTGCCTATAAATTATCCCACCCCTGGACTGAGCTTTAAAACTTTTGATGGCAGTATTAATTACTTCCTTCATTGCTATGGCAACACTCGACAAAAGCAAGGTAAGGAAGGAGGATTTCTTGTGGCTCTCCATTTGAGGCTACAGTCTCTCGTGGTAGAGGAGGCGGCAGGTACATGAGATAGTTGGCATCCACAATCAGAAAGCTGAGAGAGGAATGCTGATGCCCAGCTTACTTTCTCCTATTTCTTTAGTGCAGGACCACAGTCAATGGGATAATGCATTTAGGGTGGGTTTTCTCATATCAACTAGCTTAATCTAGAAATTCCCTCACAGACATGCCCAGCACTTTGTCTCTTAGGTAATTGTAGATCCCACAAAGTTGACAGTCAACATTAGCCATCATAATAAATGAATAATGGAAAATATCCCAATAAGGATCAGGAAAGTCCATGAAAAAAATAACACAGAAGTCAGGAAACAAAACTCAGGAAAATCTTCACAAGGAAACCAGTCTTAAACT